AAAATTCCTCTGACATGTTCCAGGGGTCCTCTGGAAAATATTAGAGTTAACTAGAGGTAAAAGTACCTTTTGGAATTTGATTTTGGGAAGTTGTCAGAAGAAAGTTTATTTGGCACTTGCTTAAATAGTATTATAGGTTGCTATGAAGCAATATTTATCCATTTAACCAGAATGACAAAATACCTCAAAGGCAAATAAAGAAGTTTACACAGTTGTTAGCAAACTTTAGCTTTCAGTCTTTTTAATATTAAGATGTCATTTTCTTAAATACTCAGACAACTCATTGAGACTTTAAGCATGAGAAACTTCTTTGATAAAACAATTAGAAAGCCTTTTGCAATCTTTCAACATTAAGAGCAGACTAACAGTTTAAGAAAATTTTGTCTTTTTAACTGAAAATAAAATTCTAATTTTGCTGTGTACTTGATACCGAGACTCATTTGCTTTAATTTTATATAGCATGACCATATTAAATTCTTCCAAAACTTTCTACAACCTTCTTCTTATATTTAGATTTCTCTTTCTAAATAAACAGATGTACTTTACAATAAAGTTACTTTTTTTTATCAAAAGACATTCTTTAGCATGCAGAAATGTTTTCCTTATTACTTTAAGTAGTTTTAATTAGAACTTAAAACCATTAGGTACCTTAATTTCTAGTGAACACTGAGAAGCAGGCTACTGTAAACTGTTACACTAGCATTCTTTAGATTGACAAATTTATGAACATTTTCTGTAACTGTGAGCTTTACAGCACAATCTCTCACTAAACATAAAGTATATCAACTTAGCAAAACTTTAAGATTTTAGGTTACTACAAAGATTCTCAGGCTGCAGGTAGGTATACACACTGTAACACACAATTAAAAAGGTGTTCACTTGCCACACTCATTTAGTTCACTCATTCGTAACAACTATGCTAGATTACTTATAAGACCTTTACTGAATATTAGACAAAGCCAAGCCTTTAAGCATTTTATTCTTAAAAGATTTAGCAGATAACATCGACTTAAATGACCTTAGGTAAACTTAGGCAGCTGATAACTACAAGGACATGCGGGCCTCAGCCAAACTCAAATTAGCATTAATGCTTAACATTTTTTATCAGATTTTCTGGAAGTTTTAGAATGCCTAATTTTCACAAGTGCTTGTCTTTAAATCAATTTCATTAATACCATCCAGAGGTAGAAAGATATTTTCATTTACACACTTAGACACACAAACATACAGACTGAGACATAATGATAAGGTTCCCTCTGGCAGCCATCCGACATTGAAAACTGGCTACTCACTAGAACAAAAAGTCTGCCACCGACCCTTCTGGACTTCCACACTGAGGTTGTTAGCTCTTCCCCTAATATCTTTAACCTGTAAGAGAGTGGTTGGATTAAATGTTCCCTCCGGCAGCCAGCCAACGTTAAAGGATGGCCTCTCAGAGGTGCAGAAATCATGTTATTTTCCCTTCCTGACGTACGTGCTCAAATTGTGAGCTCTCTCCCTAACGTCTGAGAAAAATGGTCTGTCATGAGAGACAAGGGGGTTGTCTGCATCTGTCCCATTTCTTCTGTCAACAAGACTAAGAAAAACATGACAAACAACAAACAGGCACCTACAAAGAATCTGCTGCGGCTGCGGAGGCAAAACTGAAAGTAAGTTGAGGGCCTGTCGGACTGCAGCAGCAGCCGACTTTCCTCACAGATGAGGACCTCGTCCTCCAGACGGTGGCAAGGGACATCTCCCAAGACCCCTGGTCAGCGACCCACCAGTGCATCCGCCTAAGTCAATGCCGACCCAGATACAGATTGGAGCTCCTACAGGCTTATACAGGCTTGTTCGCGAACAAAAACAGTGAGACACAGATAAAGACAAAATGAGACACAGGTAGACAAGGACAGACAGATAACTGAGTGCACTCACCAGCCAGCACAGGGCCCTCTGGGTCGGGAGTCCTGGGGGGTCTCTGGGATCCCGGATGAGCCCCCAAATGTTGTGCCCAAAGTCGCGAATCCCAGAAGACCACCAAGGAGCCAACACCGATGCAAAAGCAAAGAGCCTTTATTCAAGCTAGCTCGAGCTCAATCTCTCATCTACACCAACACAGTGGCAAGATGCCAGAGAAAGAGAGCGAGTTTCAATACCACAAAGGTTTTATGGGGTTCTAGGGCAGTTGGTGGGGTGATGGTCATGGCTCTGGCTGATTGGCTGGATCTAGGGGTAGTTGTGGGGTGATAGGTCGTGGCTCTGGTCAATAGGCAGGGTCTAAGGGTGGTGGGTGAGCTCCTTGCTGACTGGAGAGGAGAGACCAAGCTCCAATTGGGTGAAATAGGATCCAGGTCCCAATTGGCTGAAATAGAATATGGGAGCTTGCCCTTTCACTCTTCATGTGATTTAATGTGCAGCTATGTTTGCAAACCAGTGTTCCAGAAGGACTTTCAAAAATGTTTGAGATTCAGAGGGATTTCTGATTAAATCCTCTTAGAGGTTTTGATTATACCATGTCAAAAATTCCTTTAACCAAAATGGAGATTTGTAATAGTGGGCTGTCCCACTGCTCAAGACAAGCTACAGTCGCTGTCAGATGTTTTCAAAACAGTCCTGGAGATGTTGAAAATAGAATTTCCATATGATTCAGCAATCCCCTTCTATGCTGAGAATTGAAAGCAGAGACTCAAAGTGCCTATGCATACCACATACATATATTACACACCCATGTTCAGAGCAGCATTATTTGCAATAGTCAAAAAGTAGAAGCAACCCACAAAACCATCAATAGATGAGATGAAAAACAAAATGTGGTACAGACATACTGTGAAATGTATTCAACAGGGAAGTCTTTAGGCTGAAGTGGCTCTAATGCCTTGGCAGCCCATGTCAGCAAGCCAAACCCTAAGCTTCTACATGCCTCAAGGTTAAGAAATTGAAACCGAAGGACAACAAATCTCATATAACCAAAGAGGTTTCCAAATAAGGCAACTGGGTGGCCGAGAGCCAATCTAGTAATTTCCTTGCCTTCCCTCCGTCTGCTCTATAAGTCTTTCCCCACCTGCTGTCCCTGGAGCACTCCTAACCACTTCCTTTCTGGCACTGCCCAATTCCAATAGATGTTTGCTCAAATAAACTGTAAACGATTTTAATATGCCTCAGTTTATCTTTTAATGGTACTATGCCGTACTATTAGCCTTCAAGAGGAAGGAAATTCTGACACATGCTACCATGTGACTAAACCTTGAGGCCTTTGTGCTAAGTGAACCAGCCAGTCAGAAAGGGACAAGTGGTGTTGAGTCCACTCATGTGAGAGACTTAGAGTCGTCAGACTCGCACAGACAGAAAGTAGGGGAGGGTGTGGAGATGGTGTTCAGTGGTGCAGAGTTTCAGTTTTACAGAATGAAAAGAGTTCTGTGGATGGGGGCTGTGGTGGCCATGACAGCGTGAATGTACGTGATGCCAGCAGCCTGGACATTTAAAAATGGTGGAGATGGTGAATCTGATGTTATGTATGTTTTACCACAATTACAAAAAAAGTTTTTGTTAGCAGTTGCCCTGAGTACTTTTTTAAATGAATGACCACATTCTTGCAGCACACAGGCCAGGAGGCCTACCCATGAAGGTGATTCATTTATAGAATAAAGGCCATGTGTGGGTGAATAGCAGAGGAAAGGGAAATCAGTTCATAAATATCCTACAGGGGTCCAAAAAATTTTATTAGCTTCCTAGAGGTAAAAGGTGTTCCTAGCTGGCTATCTAGATAATGGTACACAAATTGTAGCAAGGGAGCAATGGGAAAAACAACTATAACAACAAAGATCTCATCAGAGGCCAAAGCTGGGTAGCTATGTGCCTCTACATCTCAAACTGAAGGACCACAGAGCTGACTGTTCCTTCCCTGGGAGCTTTTGGGGTAAACTTCCTACGTGAGAAATATGTCAAGCAATTTGAGTGTTACCACTTGTGGGTCTCACCAGTCCTGCAGTGCAGCTGCACTATAGTAACCATGGATGTTCTCACTCCCAACCTGGGCAAGTGTGTACAGACTGGTACCAACAAGGACTGGGAACAGACTCTAGATGTGGTCAGTATTAAGTGGCAGAATCCCTTGGACATAATGAATGCAGCACCTTAAATCACTGTATCATTCTGTTTGACTGAAGAAGGTAAAATGCCCAAAGGTCAGTAGGGATGTGACCCATAAAAGGAGAGGTGTCATCTGAGAAGAGATTGGGGCAGGATTGAATTCAAGAGACTTCATGTGCTTGGAGAAGAAAGGCCGTGAAGGGCTCACGGTCATTGCTACTAGGCTGACAGAGACTCCTTGGGGCCATTGTTAGCCCTATGTTCAACTCCCCCCTCACACACACACTCAGTAAAACGGTAATTTTTTTAAAAAGAAGAAAAAGAAAGGAAGAAACGATGTTTGATTTCTATTTCAGAAAAATAAGTTCATCTAATTTCACTTATTTTTAAATCTGACATTAAAAAACTTGTTTCTGATGAGAAAATTAATACCTAAACAATTCAAACTATTAGAAACATAATTTAGTAGTTATCCATAATTTCTCTACCTTTCCCAATATAACTGTTAACTATCTGATTTATATTCTCCCAGACTTTTATCATACATATGCCAATATTAGAATATATATTTAATGGGCTCACATAAAAAGTACCTGTTTTCCATGTTTGCTCCTGTGGATCTACTAAGTCTTTTTATGAACTTTCATTCCATTATTTGGTTGTAACATAATTTGTCTAACCAGTGGCCTATGGATAGGCATTTGCATTGGTTTTTTTCCCCTCTATTTCAGCCAGCACTGCAGTGAACATCCCGGTCCTTCTGTCTTTGCCCACTTGTATGAGCACAAAGGAAATTCTAGATTCAAGGACATTCTTTTCACTTAATTCAACACTAATTATTACATTTAGAATTACAGCTTCTAGAAATCCAAGAGGTGAATGAGAGCAAAAGGAATCTCACTGAGCTTATGTGTGTTCATACTTTATAGAAATACCAGCGGAGGCGGAAATACAGCCTGTCTGCCGTGTTCCATTCAGCCACCATGTTGCAAGACGTTGGCGAGGCCATTCAGTTTGAAGTCAGCATTGGGAACTATGGCAACAAGTTTGACACGACCTGTAAGCCTTTGGCATCAACCACACAGTACAGCCGTGCCATATTTGATGGTAAGACTGACACCAACCATTCCCTCCATACACATGTACAGTGGGTGCACACAGGACGAGAAGCATGCAGCATATTTGCCCTCAGGTAGCCATTGTTCCCAACTTATGCTTGGTGGTAGGAAGGAAAAGGTTGAATGGGGAAGAGAGGTGGCTGAAAGTCAGGCACCTTCAAGACTGGTCAAACTGAAAAATGCAGGCCCTTTGCCAGGGGCTGAGCCCCAAAGCCCCCTCCCATGCCTGCCTTTAGCACTGGCTCTGTTTTGTAAAGTCACAAGGTGGTGACTTGCTGAACAATGAGCTCCCTGCAGACAGCTTCTGACCCCTGCCCACCTCTGCCCTGTTAGGGTCCGGAGTCGACCACCTCTCAAATAGACAGAAGACACTCACGGTTTATTTCCAGCTAGCTGGGGTCCAAGTGTCTGCCCGACGCAGCGGGTTTCAACAAGGACCCCGAGCACTCAAAGCTAAGGGTTTATATATCATTTTCAAAGCACTTAACTCACAGTAATTTTCCAGTTACATATTATTTTTAGCAAGAGCAAGATAAGACCACTCCCCAATTAGACAGAGTGGTGTTGCAAGATAGGGGCTAAGCAAGAGCGTGATAAGCTGACCAACCGCCCACAACCCAGTGTCTTTGATTAATTTGTTCTTTAAAACTTGTTTATCAAGCCTTACCCAGTCCCTCCTCCCTTGGAGTCCTGTACTCAAGAAATGATTTGTCGTCCCTTAAGATGGCTATTCTCATGCTAACTTATTCTTACATTCCCCCCTTTTTGTTGTTACAATGAGGAATCTGGCTCATTTGTAGGGTAGCCATAGGGGCCCTCAGGAGGGGGCAACTTTTCGTATTGTTGTCTCAAGAACAGGAGTTGAACAGTATTGACACAGTCTTTTACAAAATTAATAAGTTTGTTTAGGATGCAGGGGCCAAAAGTTAAAATAAATATAAGTAAAATTAATGGGCCAACTAGGGTAGAAACTAGGGTGGTGAGCCAGGGAGACTTATTAACTAAGCTTTAAACTCTTGTGCTTTTCTTTCTCTCTTTCTCTTGGCTAATTCTTCTCTTACTTTAGCCATGGATTCTTTTACTACTTTTGAATGACCAGTGTAAAAACAGCACTCTTTTTTTAGCGCAGCACATAGTCTCTTTTGAATATTAAAAATTAACTTGACGTAAGGAATTTTCTGCCTTGATTTCTCTCTGGAACACCGGCACCTGGGTCCGAGAGCATATCAAAAGGCTGCCTGCCCAGCCCCAAGGTGGGCTGAGGTATTGTCTACTTGCTAAAGAGTCTTGCCTTTTGAACTTCCTGGGTGTTAAAATGCAATCTCATCTCTAAAATGGAATTTCCTTTGCCCTTTACTATGCTATTTACTCAGTCTGCATGCTAAGCTAGTTGCTCAGTTTGCAAAATTACTCTGTTAGGTCTGAAGGAGGAAAGATAGCACACAGGCCTGGGCCTTTCAGTATGCTAAAGTGAATTCTCTACATGGTTACAAATGATTAGCATAACAAAACATATGCTACTCTTCTTTATCTGGGGAACACCAACTGATTTCACTGAAGAATAATTCTAGAGCTCAATGTTTAACATAGAGTTTCAGCAGGGGGTTTTCTTTGCATGTAGCCACACTGCTCCGACTGCAAATATCCTGCCCTGCCTCCTCTAGAGGCCCTCACTCTATTCTGTCTAAGCTCACTGTCTCCATCTCATTTTCCTCTCTACAGATAGAGACCCTAGCTGCTGCTAGGGAAGGGGCGATGACCGCTCTGGCTGCTTCATGCTGAGAGGGGGCGCAATAAGGGGTGCAGCCAGGTCTCCATCAGTGGTCAGTTGAGAGGGCCTCAGAAGATTGGCGCCTCCACTCCAGGTTCCATTTCCACTACTATTTGCAGTTTTGTAACTTCTAAGCAAGACAGAACAGATTATGCCATTAAGTTAAGCAGCAATCTTTGGAATTGGACTCCCTCACTCTGGAAAGACAAACCTGATGAGACCAAGAATGTATGGTTGAATATGAGAACTAGAAGTAGCAAAATTTTAATTGTAATGATAGGAGAAAACTAAAACATCTGGAAAATCATAGCCAGATATTTTGAAGAAGCCTGAATTCTGGATCTAGTCCATGTCTCAGTGACCAGTACTAGGACTCAGCATGGACAAGGCTGCACCATTGAAACAATACCCCTCTCTAAAATCACCATCATTCTCACTAGAAGTAACCAGATTAAAAAAATAATCAACACTTGGCTCTATTATTTGCATAAGTGCAGCAAGAAGAGCAATTGATTGCACAGGCTCTTTTAAATGTGCTTTGCTGGAACTTTTTGCAAGGAATTTCAGATCGAACTTTTAAAGGCCACTTGCGGCCAGACAGCCAAGCCAGACTTGCCATCAGGTTTAGCCTGCAGTACCTGTAGATCTGGGTGAATTCCTCTCTTTTTGAGGTCCCCACGACATCTTGAGGTTCCTGCACCTGCCAGGAAGTGACCTTCTTTACTCACCTGTAAGGCTGCTGGGAACCCTGTAAGCAAGGTACTAGGCCAGTTCCTCCAAGGGGCTTTGTTGGCTTTATAAAGTCATAATTAGTTCCTTAAAGCTGTTCATATCTGAGTTCATGCACGTGTCTCTCAGGTATGACATTCCAGTCAAAGCCTTGGTAGTATAACCTGTGTTTTTAATTGGTCCTCTTACAAGGAAAGCAGGTTCTTATTGAACTTATGCAAATAAACATACTGCCATGAAATATAAAAATAGTCAATGAAAGTTTTTAAATCCTGGAGGGATCAGGTAGAAAGATAAGTTTCGATTCTGCTTATAAAGATTAGTCATTTACTAAACTGTTGTCAACTTAAGAGAAAAAGCTTAAAACATTTTATTAACAACATTTGAAATAAAAAGCCACAAAATCATCTTTAGTTTACTTAATCTTATGTAACTAATACTTGTTCTGCTGAAATCTAGTTCTTTACTAGTTTAGGAGTAATCAAACAGTGACTATAAATGACAAAAGACTTATAAATGACAATGGTTAAAGATCTGATGAGAGCTTACTATAAGAAGGCTGACATATGGAAATTTTGACATTTTTGTAACATGAAACATTCAGTAACAAAGTTTAGCATCATTCCTCTTGACAGTGCTTCCCAGACAATCAAGCAGGTAATTATATATCAGATAAATAAGCCAAATTAGCCAAATACTTTCTCCAATGAGAAAAAGTTCTTCTGACATGTTCCAGGGGCCTTCTGGAAAATATTAGAGTTAATTAGAGGTAAAAAAATACTTTTTAAAATTTGGTCTTGGGAAGCTGTCAAAAGTTTTTAAGACACTTGCCTAAATAGAATTCTAGTTATTAAATAACACTTGTTATTTAACCAGAATGATAATAAGAAGGCTTAAAAGCAAATACAGAAGGTTACACAGTTGTTAACAACACTTAGCTTACAGTCCTTTTAATATTAAGATCTCATTTTCTCAAACACTCAGACAAATCATCGAGACTTTAAGCATAAGAAACTGTCTTAATAAACAATCAGAAAACTTTTATTATCTTTCAGCATTAAAGGTAGAGTAATAAACCTTTGCTCTTCTGGCAAACAAAAACTCTAGTCTTGCTGTGCACTCAACATCAAGATTTATTTGCTTTAATTTCACATAGCATTACTATATCAATTTTTTAATAAACTTTTTACAACTTTCCTTTTATATTCAGTGTTCATTGTCTTTAAACAAACAGCTCGACTTTTGAATAGCTATCTTCTTTTACTTTCAGTACAATGCAGTTCTATTCCTTATACCTTCTCCTATAAAAACACGCACTTCTTTTAGCATTCAGAAATGTTTTCCTTATTATACCAAGTAGTTTTTATTATAACTTAAAACCATTTGGTACTCGAACCTTCAGTGAACACTGAAAAACAGGCTACCGTAAACTGTCACACCAGCATTTTTCAGATTGATACATTTATGAACATATCTTATCATTTTTGGAAATGTGTCTTACAGCACAATCTCTCATTAAGCACAAAATATGTCTATATAACTTAGCAAACTTTAGGAATTTTGGTTACCACAAAAATTCTCAGGCTTTTTGTAGATATATACACTGTTATACATTAATACAGTATTATTATTAAGATGTTTATTTGCTATACTTGTTTACTTATTTTTAGCAACCATGCCAGATTACTTATATATATAAAACTTTTACCAAACATCAAAGTCAAGCTTTTTTTTTTTAAGCATCTTCTTGAAACATTTAACAGATCACATTAACTTAAATGACTTTAAGCAAACTTTGGCAGCTGATAACTACAAGGACATATCCATTTCAGTTAAACTTAAATTAGCATTAATGCTTAATATTTTTTTATTAGATTTTCTGGAAGTTTTAGAATGCCCAATTTTCACAAGTGCTTGTTTTTAAATCTATTTTTACTAATACTATCCGGAGGTAGGAAAATATTTTTCATCCACACATTTAGACACACAAATATACAGACTGAGACATAATGACTACAGTTAGCAACACTCTTCATAAAAAGAACATATATACAGACAGACAAACTGACACAGAGACTTGAGTTATTGATATTTAATTGCCTTTCCTTTTATCTTATTTGACTAAAAGTATCTTAGTTTTCAAGAATATACTCTACGGGCGAGCAGTTTATATAACTGGGTTAAGGTTTATGTCCCCAGACTAACAGGGCCGATGAAGGCCCTGAACTGACAGGGACTGTGTGTGTCCAGGGGGCTGGAAATGAAATGCAAGTACAATTCTAGCACTGGTCATTTAAAGCCAGGCTGTATTGCAGAAGATACATTTCTTTTATTTCAGGGAGTCTAGTTAAAGAACTTTTCAATTTTTGAAGATAATGAACCCAATAAGTAGAATAGATTTCTACTAAAATAATTTGCAAAACTAGTTCCACACTGTAGTCTACGGGACTGTTGACTATTTTCCTTTTTTGCATTAAAATAAATTTAGCTGCATAACTTTATTATATTGCATACTTCTCTCAGGGGCTAAGCCTCCCCATTAGAGAGTTTGTATTGAGGCCAGGCTTGTGTGCAGAAGATAAGACCTCTCTTCCTTTTCAGGGTCTGGGGATCAAAATTGCTCTTAGTTCCTCAGAATGCATGCCAGAGGCATATCTGGCTTTAACCTTGAAGAGGATGCTCCCACCTGAAAGAGAGAGAGAGAGAGAGAAAGACAGGTGTCCGGCACCTGGTCAGCCTCTCTCTGTGAGGGCGTCTCCTCACTTTGGAGCTTAGGTGATAGTTGTCAATCACCCCCTCTGCCAGGCCTCCTGGATTTAACCACTCCTTGCTAGTGTGGCCTGCACCTTGCCTTGATTCTCCTCTTGCCTTCTTAATCAGCAAGAGTCGCCTTGGAGCTCTGGATTTAGTGGGACCTTACTAGTGTGCTCCTACTTACGCCTTTTGGGAGTTTCCCTAGTTTTCTCTGCACGAGCTTTCCTTGAGCGCCCCCTGCCTGTCTGATAAGTGAAGAGACTGTGTGACTTCCTGCTGCCAGAGCCCTGATCTAAGTTACAAGCCTGTCTTGCTTTCCCGGGGCTGCAGAAAAGGAAATGCACGGCCCCAGGATGACTGCCTCTAAGGAAAGGAGATCAACAGAATAGAGCCATTTACATGTTGGTCTCAGGTTTCAGCTTGATTACTTTACAGACTTCATTTACATTACACAGGAGAAAGTGGCGCAGGCCTAAGAGGACTGCTTTGAATGGAGAGCAAAGGAGCTTTTTGCTAAGGCCAGAAATAAAATTCAGGGGCTGCCACAGACATTTGAGGGAGGGCCTATACTCTCAAACACCAGTTTCTGCCACTGCCTGGAAATTATCTCACCAGTCACCACTATAACAAATCTGATCACTGAGACAAGAGGTCGGGGGTCATCTGCGACTCCCGCATAGGCATTGCCTAGCCGGAGGTTCACTCAGTGCCATCAGATCAATCAGCTGGAGCTGAGATCTCAGGACCACTGTCTACTAGTCCAGTCTGCCCTCGGAGTCCGCGGGAATGATAGGGAAAATTTACAAGGACAGCAACCTAGCGGGTGGCTCCACTCTGTCTCACACCCCTCCCTCTTCAACATAAACAACACTACAAGGACAGTAATTTATGAACTGGCTCCCCTCTGCCTCATCCCCCTCCCCAACCCAAACAAACAAACAAAAAAAAAAACACTCCCTTGGTTTCCCCGCTCTGCCAAGCACAGGTTTCCAAGGTTCACTCCCAAAACTCCCTCCCCCTTGCCTGCTCACTTGCTGTGCACATAAGAATGTTACAAATAAAGAAGCAGAAAGGTATAAATTGCTCCCTTCAACATTTGGAGGGGGAAAGTAGGAAATCGGCTCAGCCACTCCCCGACATCCCACCCATCCAGAGGCAGGGGATCAAGGAGCGGCAGACACCGGGAAACCTTTCACCCGAGACTTAAGGCTGGTAGCCGACGCTAATCATCTTTTAAGTGGCTAACGGGTGCCCAGACACATTTTTATGAGATAAAAAGTGCAGCATTTAGTCAGGAATAAGAGCTAAGTGTAGGTCTCTTACCTTGTGCCAGTGAGCATTGGGTTCCATGAGATTGATGAAGTTACAAGGTGTTATTTGAGCCTGTCTCATTATTATTACAAAAGAAGCCAGAAAAAGACAAGGAACACAAAGCCAGCAAACATACAAATTCAAACTGAGTTTTCTAACACCACTGGCCAGTCAGCCACACCACATTCACAGGTGCCGTCTCACTCACACAATGCTCAGGATCCTTACCTAGCTGTCCCAACGGCATCCACTGCGGACGTCGTTCTGGTACCCTTTCGTCGGGGACGTCTCCCACGACTTTCAGTAAAGGAGCCTCCAGGGTTGTAACCCACTCCTTTCCTTTTTGTGAGAATTCTCAATTGGGACCGGGCAGAGACCTGTTTCAGTCTCTCTGGTCTAGGACCTGTTTCAGTCCTCCCCTCTTGGAGGTGGCCAAACCTCCTTCCGTGGCTTCTGAGCAAACCTCGGTATTGGGGGGGTCATCTGTCTCCCTGAGGAGGGGTCTAGCAATCCCGGACAAGCCCCCAAAATGTTAGGGTTCGGAGTCGACCACCTTTCAAGTAGACAGAAGACACTCACGATAATGCAAGTCACACAGCGAGGTTTATTTCCAGCTAGCTGGGGTCCAAGTGTCTGCCTGACGCAGCGGGTTTCAACAAGGACCCCGAGCACTCAAAGCTAAGGGTTTATATATCATTTTCAAAGCACTTAAAATCACAGTAACTTTCCACAGTTACATGTTATTTTTAGCAAGAGCAAGATAAGACCACTCCCCAATTAGACAGAGTGGTGTTGCAAGATAGGGGCTAAGCAAGAGCGTGATAAGCTGACCAAGGCCGCAACCGCCCACAACCCAGTGTCTTTGATTAATTTGTTCTTCAAAACTTGTTTATCAAGCCTTACCCAGTCCCTCTTCCCTCGGAGTCCCGTACTCAAGAAATGGCTTTTCAGCCCTTAAGAGGCTATTCTCATGCTAACTCATTCTTACAGCCCTACCAGGCCCCAAATCACTCTTAGATTGAGTGGTTTAAGTGGTTGGGACTCTGGCTCAGGCTCTGGAAAATCAAGCTTCTAGTCTTCATTCTGTTACCAGCACTACAACCTTAGCCACATCATTCAGTTCTCACCTTCAGTTTGTTCATCTCCTCCAGAGATGCTGTGAGGATTAAATAGCTGTATTTGAACAAAGATGGATGAGAAACAGTCTCTGCTTTTAAGGAGCTTACATTCTAGTTTATAAAGTCAATCATAATAGAAGGCAGAGAATGCCCGAATAAAGGTATGAACAAATGGTTTGAGAGCATAGAGAAGGAAGAGAGAAATTTGAATAAAATGTTCGAATAGGATTGCCATAGTTTTTACCTAACTTTTTTACAAGCAATGTTAAAATACAGAATGTGCTAGGAAGTGTTAGCTAGTAATTCTTAATCCCTCTAAGGCTCCAAATACTAAACCCTATGGACTAAGGCTTTTAAAAAACAGAAAATTCTTTTTTCTTGCCCCACTCCCAATAAAAATATTTGTTTAGAATAGCAATTTTCAGGGACAAACACATATAATCTAATCTGTTTTCTCTGTATTTTCTGCTGTCATGTTTTATAATCCTTAGGGATGTTACAACATATAATCCCGAATCACTGAAAGATTCTAAAATTGCTGTGTTTTGTTTTTAAGAAATTTTAGAGAGGTTTTTCAAAACAGGCTGAATAAGAACTTTCTATCTCTCAGTTGCTTAATTGAATAAAATTAAAGAACCAGACCACCCAAACCATACCCCCAAGCATACAGATTAATCAGTAGCCCAATTTGCGCATCTTTTTAATGACATGTTGTTTTCTTTAAGTGTCCAGTGTTCACTGACCCTCGGTGTTCTCCTCCAGGGAACTACTATTATTACCTGCCTTGGGCCCACACAAAGCCAGTTGTTACCCTGACTTCATACTGGGAGGATATTAGTCATCGCCTGGATGCGGTGAACACTCTTCTAGTCATGGCAGAACGGCTGGTAAGTTTATTTTACCTACAGGTCCTTTTCACCAGCAGAATGAATTATGTGTTAGGATGCAGGCTAGCCCACCATCACACAAGACCTCAGACAGAATATAGTGTAAGCACTGTAAAAACTATTTCTTTAATAACAGTTGAGATAGGCGACCTAAGGCCGGTGTGGAGGCTCCGTGGCATTGGGAGCCCAGACTATCCCCTTGTTGTTCTGCCATCACTAGGGAGTTGTGTCTGCAAGGGAGAGGCAGCCCACCACTACACCCCCCTCTAGTCCAGGGAAGGGGAAGAGAGAGGAAGATGACAGCACAGGTCTCTCCCTGGAAGGGAAAGATGCAGAAGCTACACACTTGATCTCCTCTCATTCTCCATTGGCCAGAATCTAGTCATACAACCACATCTTACTATAAGGGAACAGGGAAATGCAGCCTTATGCCTGGGGAGGCATGTGGCCAGATAAAACTTATCTTGTGGAAGAGACAAGATGGATAGTGAGGGGACAGCTCAGTTTCTGCCACAATTTGTATGTGAAGTGTGGTGTAGAGAATGGTTCATTCCAATAAAGATATGCAAGCCTTAGAGCTTTGCTGTTAAAGCAGTAGAAACCTCCACTATGGGGAGAGGAGGGCTCAGAGGAACCAGGGCCTGCCCTCTTCCTCTCTTGCTGTAGACTCGGGAACTGTCCTTGTTTGGAAGTTGGGAGTTCCCTCTGGTGGAAACTGCAGAGACGTAGTATCTGTGCTCAACCATTTAGTTGACATTGATGTGACGAGAAACATGTTTGGGATACTCCTAATTAAGTCAGAGATACTAAGGTACATCTATCAAGTACTGATAAAATCCAAAATATCTTATTATGAATTTTTTCTAAGATCCAGCCTCTGTCAGGACAGATGCTTGAAGTGACAGCAGTATGTTCTGGCTTATCTTGTACCTGCCCAGCCTGGGAATCACCATTTCTTGTAAAATACAGGATATGGGTATTAGAGTGCCCATTGCTACTGAGATGCCATTGCTTCTAGGTCTTCTCAGCAGATAAACTTGTACACATACACACACATACATACATTTATTTGTACATTTATTTTTAGATCTATACCTAAAGCATAAGTTTATAAGGATAACTCCAGTTCCACTGTAATATGATGGGGTTTATTCTAGTCTTCCCTATTTCTATATTCACAGTAGCTCCCTTTACAAATAGTCAGAAACCTGGCTTCCATTATCCTCAATATATTTACTCATTTGTCCAATCCTAAAATCCATCAGTAAACCACTGTAAAAAAAAAAACTAATTAGAATTTTTTATGCTTATGGTTCTTTCTTTCCCTGAAACTAGTCAAAATGTATTGTGTTCAAAAGTTACTTGGATTAGTTCAGTATAGTTATGATACTCATCTGAAATATATTAGGTTCATGTGTTCCTGTTTTATATTCCCCTTTAGGATTCCTTCCCCCATCTTTATTGGTTTTATTTTATTTACTTTTTGAATATGTAAAATATTTGCATGGTTTCAAAGGTCACAGCTATATGAAAAGGTTGCTCTATTACTTAAATTATCAGTGTTGATTGCATGTTGAAGAAAAATAAATAGTGATAGTGCTCAGCTATGGTGAGCATTATTAAACATTAAAAAAAACCTGGTTTTTCTGTTATCTTTCTGCTGTATTTTTTCTCAAAAATAAGAGTTAAATCTTTACTGGTTATAACAGCATACTATACAATTACCAGTCATTTTCTCTCTGTCTAAATTCTTCAGCAATCAAACATAGAGACCCTAAAATCCGGAATACAAGGTAAAATTCCTGCAAACCAGTTGGCGGAAATGTGGTTGAAGCTGATCGATGAAGTTATAGAAGACACAAGGTAAAGGGATGCCATTCCCATATCAGAGTTCCCAGCCATACTCCCCTCCCTGAAATGGTAACCCCAGAAAGAGTCTCTAGAAAACTTTTCAGTGTTTGCCCAAAAAATTAATTTGAGTCAGTCAAGCTTCTCAAAAGGCTGTACTGCAAAGAGTCTCTGAATCCCCACCAGGAAAAACCCCACTTTCGGATTGGTGCCAATTCTAACATAGCCTGGGGAGGCCTCAGGCCCCCTCCAGGAAGGAGCCCCATTGTGGCCTTGACCAGGTTGGGAAAGGAGAGGAGGGAGCAGTTCTGGGCCTCTGCCTCCCGTCAGTCCTTGTTTGCCCAATACCCCAAGAAAGGTGACTCCTGGCTCCCACAGAGAATGGGTCAAGGAGTGGAGCACGATATTACCAGGACAACATTCCTGATTCATAAACACGTCTTTAGAAATAGGCTTTTTGCTTGCTCTTCTACCGTATGTCTAATGAACACTCTGGCCAAGCCTATTTTAGGTGAAGCCCGTAGATTTGACTTGAGCCAGAGAAACTTTCATGACTTATAATGTGGGGAAACAGCTCAGATCTCTGGGTATTTGGAAATCAAAGGGGAAGATGACTCATTCCAAACTCATTTTAAATGTTGGCTAATAAAGCACTGGACAGGGAAGTTCCAAAAGAAAGGCATTTTGAATACTTGGCCCAAGCTGCAAGAACCAGGACGTTTCCCCACTGGGCTGATGCCCTTAGTCTCCCTGTCTTCTTGTGCCTCCTAGTGGTGAAGCTGGACAACTGAAATGCAGCTGATAAATTTCAGCTGGGGGTGCTCACCCAGGATGAAGGACTGGGGGCGCTTCTTTACATTCAGAGAATTTAAATCTGGGTCCTCAAGGTCATCTTTTCCAGTCTTTATATGAGGGAAAACAGAAGCCCAAAGAGGAAAAATGACTTGTCTGGTGCACAAAGCTCCTTCTCCTCTATGTTCTACACAGTCAACATCTATTTACGGGAAGTCTCTCATGTGACTGTTGAGCCAGCGACAGAAGTGTATATCTTTGCCTTAAAGAATCATTCCAGGGACTTCACCCCAAAAAGGCATTGCTAGAATTACTAGTGTAACCAAACAGAAACATTTGCTAATACCTCTCATGTAGAAAATGTCTGTGAAATTTAAGGTTTGCTAAACAAAACACAGAAATACCTATTTACACTGTTTCTTGAAGAATCAAATTGATGTGACTTGTTTTTGAAGAATCAAATTGGAATCTTTTTAACTTCACATAACAGGAAATTCGTGTTCAAGGGAAGTCATGCTAGAATTTCCTTCATTTAGGAAACTGGGTGAATCAAACCAATGGAAATTCTAGGTGGACACAATATGAGTAGAACTTCCTGAAATTGGTGACACATTTACTCTGTGGCCCCAGCAACTGCCATGGTGAGAGGAAGCCCTGACAGAAGAAAACTAATTCTGGCCACACCTCAGCTGTTCTAGATTTCTCAGTTTGTAGGGAGCCTGGCCTACACAGGTGGCTTTTAACCTTTTGGGAAATAATGGGCCCCTTTGAGTTTCTGGTGAGACAAGGATAAGATGATGCTAACAACGGGATGATGATGGTGAGCAACATTACTTAGAGTTGCTCTAAATGCTCTCCACATATTAACTCATTTTCATCTCACAACAACCCTAAAAGATAGGTATTATTTCTCCACATCTGAAGATAGGAAAACAAGAGATTAACTGGTGAAATTACAGAGCGAGTAAATGACGGAGCCAGGATTCATACCCAGATTTGGCTCCAAAGCCCGTGTTCACCCTTACGTCACAATGCACATCCACACAGACATAACACTTTCTCTTTTTAAGTTCCAGGAATTCGTGGACCTCCTGAGGCCCATCCACAGACTGCCTTGGGGTACATGGTTCCTAAATTAAGAACTCGTTGGCTGAATGATCTCTAATCTCCCTTCCACCTCCTTCATTTTGTGGGTCTGTACAATGATTGTAGGAAGCAAAAGAAGGGAAGAGGCCAGTTCCTCCCAGATGCTGCTGCTGTTTCACCTTCTTTCCAGTGACTCCATCAACCTTGTCAAACTCAAGGCTTGTTTTGTCAGTTTAGTCTCCCTGTATTCCTCCTGCACTAGGAGAGTCTGTCTGGCAGATCTCGTCTGCCAATGCCATACACACTCAACTTCAGCTTAAACCTGGTCGTGCTTGTGGAGTCAGGAAATTGGTGCAGTTTCCAAGATAGAAACAAAACACAAATGAATTTGATAGTTCCAAAGCCTAAAAAGCTATTCTGAAAATTCTGTTAATTTTTTTTTTTTTTAGATACACATTGCCTCTCACAGAAGGAAAACCAAATGTCACAATTCTTGACACTCAGATCCGAAAGTTGCGATCCAGATCTCTCTCCCAGATACATGAGGCAGCTGTGAGAATGAGGTCGGAGGCCACAGAGGTGAAATCCACATTGGCAGAAATTGAGGACTGGCTTGATAAATTAATGCAACTGACTGAGGAGGTAGGACTTTTAAATTACATGAGCATCACTTGATAATGGAGGAGAGGTTCTATGGAATGGCACCAAGGATGGAGATGGTGGTAGGAAAATCTTGTACATTATTTTGGATATTGAGCAGATCAGAGGAATGATGAAATCAAGATGTTCCTTGTCTGGGATGCTAATGGGTAATGGGGGTGGGTGTCATTGAAATCAGGGCCAGAGAAGAATTTGGGGTTGGTGGTCCTAGAAGGGTCTTCAAAGTAGATAATCATTATCATTATCATGTACAGTTGGGATATTTCGACTAGTGCGATCAAGTAGCCAATCTGTGTAGTACAGATGATTAAAATGCCACCTTTGTTTGGGATTGGGAAGACCTGGCCTTCAGTCCCAAATCTACCGTGTGTAACCTTGGGCAAAGTATTCAATGTCTCTAAGCCTCAGTTTCCCCTGTGTGAATTGGAGGTAAACCCAATACTCACTTCACAGCATGGTTTCATGAAGATTAAAGAGGAGGGTGAGTGTAAAGGGCCTAGCACAGTGCCAGACACATAGTGAGTGCTGGGTAAACGTTGGCTGTCATTAACCTCTGTGGATGGAACAAGGGAGCTGAAGACCCTGACTACGGACCTTGAGAGATTGGGGGGTGGGCAGTAAGATATTTGTGGGTAGAAATACATTTGAAAAAAACACATGTGATTACAGGTAACTTTTATTCTCTACTTTATGCTTCGGTAGTTCTTTTGTTAGGTGAAGCTCACCCTTTCCTTCTGCCTATTCCCTTTATCCAGCCGCTGCCTGCCTCCCAACCCTGCAGGCTCTCAGCATGTCCTAGAAGATGTGAGACTCGGGGATTTGGGACTGCAGTGTCTCCAGTCCCTCTGCATTTAGGCTAACTCTAGCTTTGCTTCCTTTGCATTCATCCACATGACCAGCCCCAGAACAGTATGCCTGACATTATCATCTGGATGATCCGGGCAGAGAAAAGACTGGCCTATGCACGCATTCCTGCTCATCAGGTTTTATATTCCACCAGTGGTGAGAATGCATCTGGAAAATACTGTGGGAAAACCCAAACCATTTTTCTGAAGGTATGGCTTCATCACCGTGTAATGTGAATACTGAAATGAAAAACCCATATTCCCAAGGCTGCTTTATAATTTGCCAATCATTGAATAGCTAGGGTGATCATGATCCATTCTAACCCATTCTGGCCTCTTCCTCTAGGGTGGTGATTCTAGAGAGTGGTCTGAGGTTTGCTGGCATTCAGTCAAGGACACTTCCTTAGAGGTGGTTACAATACTAGGAACAGGGAGATGTGAATGCATTGTTTTCTGGCATTAATTTTCCACGTCTAACATCTCATGCAAAGAGATGTCTTTCTTCTCTTCCTTTGTAGTGGGTGTTTGGAAAGTAGAAAAAAAGGGAAGGTAATATAGATATCCCATGGCATATATGCCCTAACTGAATAGGCCCTCAAATTGAAAAATTTTGATAATTGCTGCTTTAGAGAGGGGTCCTGAGTATTTTTAGTCATGGACTCCCATAAGAGCCCAATGAAAACTGTTGGTCTTCTCTTCCACGTGGCTCAGGAGCTTCACAGGACCCATAAGTCCAACTCCGGACCCTGGATTGAGAACTGTTCTATCTGTGCATATAGAGAACTAAGGGAGGGGCCTGGGGCTGAAAACAAAGGACTCAGAATAGTCCCTGCTACATGTTTTGACGTCCCTCTCCCTGGCCTATCCCAACCCAGTTCTTTGGATTTGGGGGAGAAGAATAAAAATTGAGAAGTGAAAAAGCAGTCAGGGGAGAGTGTTCTTTTGAAAAGAAGGAGCGATCTGCTAACTTTTAATAAATGGACTCATTGCTCTTTAATCAAGAGGGTGAAAATAGAACCAGAGTAATTATCTTCTTTCAAGTATCTCCTGGTGGAATAAATTTTACTTAAGATAGAACCACAATTATAATTGACCTCAGCAGTGGGTGGAAGCAAACTGATTAATAAATAAAACTTCACAGGGGGTAGGAGAGGAGGCAAAGTGCTGTTCTCTGTGTTAGGTTTTAGAACTCAGGGGATAAACAACAAAATGCTTTTAAGAGTATTTATTAATTTACAAAATGCTTTTAAATGTATTTATTAATTTTTGGTCATATTCATTACCCTGTTTAGGGAAACATTTAATTCAGTGGGCTTTTTGTTGGTCTTGGGACCCTGTTTTTAAAAGTATAACTCTTAAAGTATTGAAGACCCCAGAGAGCTGTTGTTTATGTGGTTTATATCTATCAATTTACTGCAATAGAAATTAAAACTCAGACATTTTAAAAATATTTATTAATTTATTAAAAAATAAGAATAATAAACCCATAACATGTTAACCTAAATTACATATTTTTATAAAATACAACTGTAATATCTTTAAAAAATCAGAGAGCAGAATTATACTGTTTTATATTTTTACAAACCTCCTTAATGTCTGGCTTCACAGAAATATAACTCCATCTCACATCTGCTTCTACATTTAATCTGACTGAATAAATTGTTTGGTTGGAGTATATGAAGCGAATCCAGCCACACATAGATACATAAGTGGAAAAGGGAGGAGTATTTTAATAACTTTTCCAGATAATTATGGATACTCATCTTTGATACAACACCAGAGTCAAGTGGTAGCTTTTAAAAGGCTAATTGCAATATGGAATCTGAAACCATATCGGCGAACTTTTCATTCCCTGATATATTAAAAGCCATTGATTTATCTTGCACTTTGAATGGCTTTTTTATCCACACATGATTTTGTATCATTAAGCCTCAATCATTTGGAAAAAAATGGTTCATTGAGTTACATAGATCTTTCTAATGTTAACACATTTCATTATACAATATTGAAAAAAATTCATCATTATCACTCATCAGAAAGGTCTTTATGTATTGGGAAGCTATCAAGCTCACCATGACAGATTCAAGTTTTCCAAAATTCTTATTTTCACTTGAAAGCTTGAATTTTATCTTTGGCAACGAAATATATAGTCACTTACTGTCCTTGAAGCGACATTTGTTTATGTTCAAGAAAACATCTACCCCAAACCCAATTCTGAATAACCATATTTGTCTGTCAGTTGCTATTTCAAGTAAAAAAAAATGGATCCTGTTCACTACTTTTGCACAACTCAAACAATTACACAAGAGCTTTTTCTTAATATACACAATAATACCCACCAGAAGTGCTTTGTGTATACTTCCCATTTCATCAGACAAAAGATTAAAAGACATGTACTCAAGAACTGTGATCTAACAAGATCAGTAATTTTTACCGCTTTATCAAGGGAATTCATAAGTAAAACAGGCAACTGTTTTCTTCACTGAGAGTGGTGAAGAAGGCTTTTACTACCAGTTCAGTTTGGTGTCACTGCCTTGATTGCTGCTTCGGTGACTAGAGTTTTATCCTCCATTGTTTTTGCACCATCAGTGCAAATGTCAATATGGTGAAAAAGATGAGTAATATCTTAGTATTATTAGGAAAATAGTGCTGACCCCATAAAGCCCCTGAAAACATCTCCGGAACACATAGGGTGCTATGATCACATTTTGAGAACATGGCTTTGCTGTGGGGTCCTTCAGAAGTATTTTAACTAAGCACACATAAAATTAGAGAGCAATGATTAGACGTTCAATCTGCATGTCACAGCCTGTGCTGTGTCCGGTGTGACATATGTTATTGTGCGTCTCACAGTATCCACAGGAAAACAACAGTGGACCCAAGGTGCCTGTGGAGTTGCGAGTGAACATCTGGCTGGGCTTAAGTGCTGCTGAGAAGAAGTTCAATAGCTTTGCAGAAGGAACATTCACCGTCTTTGCCGAAATGGTATGGTTAATGCCATGGCTCTCTTTCCTTCTGTGCAGGGGGTGGGGGCGGGAGCACTTTTGCTTTGCATCCTTAGGGAAAACATTCATGTATCAAAAACAGCCAAAACCATCAGCACTACCTAAAATCCCACCGAGGCACTTTAACCCAAGGGGGTAAGGAAAGATTGACTTGAGGTTTTATTGTCAACCCTGGGACACAGCCAAGTAATTCACACTCAGCACCCCAGGAGTGAGGGCACCTGAGAGGGGCAGGTCGTGAGAAGCCTGTTTGGGGTCAGAAGTCTTGAGCCCAAGAAGAATCATTGCTCACTTCAAGAAAGCCTCAGGTGGGTTTGCCCAAGGGCAAGGAAAATGCTGTCTGAATACTGCAAAAAGAAGAGAGATCATTTCTAAAATGTTCACTGAGTTAAAAATCCACTTAGTTGATTAAAAGTCTCATTACAGTTAAACCAATAAAAAGGATTCAGGATTGTGGTTCTGATCTGCTTGCTAGGCAAGAAAAACTATGGCCATCTTTTATTTTTATTTTTACTCATTTAACAGTACCTGGCACATAGTAGGTTCCTATAAATATTTATTGAATAAATAAATAAATACCAGTGGCAGAATTTATCCATTTACCCATCCAAGCCTTCAGGGAAGAGTGGCGGCTTTATGCCAGGCACAGAGGCAGGTGCTGAGGAGGGTAAGGAAGCATACCCTGCCCTTGATGACCTCATGGTTTAGTGCAGTGATTGTAAAACTGTGTCTTGTTAAACATGCCAACAGCCAGCGCCACGTTGGGGATTGTGATTTGGTAGCTGAGGTAGGGATCGGCTCCAGTAGCAATTCCAGTGTGGGTGGATATGGGACATCAATGGATCACTTTGAGAAACAGGGAAACACTTGGGTGACACACACAAAGTCCTTACAGTGCAGGCCTGGAATGCCACTGGAGATAAACGGGGGGTGTGCTGGAGGCCACAGGGAGGCCCTGAGTGGTGGCTGTTGATACCCAGTGAGCTGGGCAGTGTGGAACGAGGACATCAGGGCACAAGCGGGAGAGGCCACTTTCTGCATTCTTGCAGGATTTCTTGGCATCCACCTGCCCTCCAGCTCCGTGACTGGAGCCAAGATAGGAGAAGCTACACTGAGCAAGGATTGACCAGTCTAGGCTCCCTTTCACTCTTTCCCATTTCAAGATCCCTCCCTGCAAAGAGGGAGTTCTATTTTCAACTCATATAAAGAGGTGATCCACCATTTCAGTTGTTCGTGTGATTCTAGTTTCTCCAGATTCTGACATTCTGTGAGTACCAGGGGTGGCATGTAAATAACAACAATGAAAACCTCAATGGTTCTTGCCTTCCTGTGCTAATATCAGACCTCAGTTCTTTGCAAAATCTGCCCCATACCCGATTTCTAGATGTTTCTGAGGTGCTTCACATGTGCCCACAGTCTTGCCCACAGCTGCTGGTTAAAGGTCACAGCCTCAAAGCCATGTGAGGCCCCCTCTCTATTGCTGTTGGTGTCTTCTTGCCACACAGGCTCCTTACCAAGATTTTACTAGAGCCATGCTGGCTTCCAAACAGAAGTGGCGGGAGCGCCTTGCTCCTCCATTCTGTGTCCTTGTCGCTTGGAAACCGAAGGAGCCATACACACGGCCCAAAGTCTCACAGCCCCTTGTGACAACAGCTTCTTTAGCTGCTGCCTGAAGCTCATCTCCTCCCGGGCTCAGAGCCAATATCTAAGAGACACTACTGTGTCCACTTGAACCTGATTTCCTCATCAGGCCCCCACTCGAACTTCTTCCCTTCCTCGGCCCAAAACTCACCTCTTACTTGGGCAAATCCTCTTCTCAGTGGGCTCATCAGCAGGCAAATGGAAATTTCAGCTTGGATCCAAACAGGGACACTCACCACTGGCAAATCCCACCACTGTGATGGTTGACACAGTGAAGAGCAGACCATTGGAGATTAATGACTTCTAACTTTAGAAGGGAATGCCCTCTGAGTTAGACTCTGAGTTGCCACTAAACCTGCTTCCAGAAAGGTCTTGGTTTGCCTGCCACATTCCAGAGGGCATGAAGGCTCAGAATTTTTAGGCCCTACAAAGGCTGGGTGCTAAAAGGCCTTTAGATTTCAGAGGTTCTTTGTGGAATGCCTGAGAAATGTGCCATCAATCATAATATTGTTTCTCTGGTGAAATCTGCCCCAAGTTCTAGGCAGTAGACTTAATAGATAAACTTTTAGAAGCATGCATATTTATAAATTGAGGAGTTTTACAGGTATTTAAAAGATAGGTTCAGAGAACTATTTGGAGCCATTCAAAATAATAATAGAAACAACTAGCATGGTATTCCACTGTTTACAAAACATGTTACAATCATTCACATGTTTGAACATTCTTTAAGAATTGGTAGTATTATCCCCAATTTATAGGTGGGAACACAGAGTCTTAGAAAGATGAATGATTTACCCAAAATTGTCTAATCAGTAGTAGCCCAGGTCCATGCCTTCTGAGTATAAAGCTTTTTAACTTTCTTACTTGTTTTGCTTAAGTCCTAGATGGACTTAAAAATTTATGTGCTTTCTTTGATGTGCTAACCTCTCTGATGGTGTGTTTCTTCAATTTTTTTTAACAGTATGAAAATCAAGCTTTGATGTTTGGAAAATGGGGCACTTCTGGATTAGTGGGTCGTCATAAATTTTCTGATGTCACAGGAAAAATCAAACTCAAGAGGGAATTCTTTTTGCCTCCAAAAGGCTGGGAATGGGAAGGAGACTGGATCGTTGATCCTGAAAGAAGGTAAGGGTTCCATTTTCTGAGAAAGAAAGGATGGCAATGAAGCCTTTCCCTAGAATTGCTAAATGAATCTACTCTATCATCATTCTTGATAGTATTTATGTAACACCCACTGAGCATGCGTTAAGTCCATAGAAACTTATAGAAACTTTAAAGATATCATCGGTGTCCCATAAGAAGACAGACAAATGTAAAAAGCACCAAGTACTAACATACATTGAAATTTATTTGGCATAAATGTGCCAATCAGTGTGCTAAGCACCCGCATCATCTTACGGAATCTGGACTATATTCCAACTATCAGTTTCATGGATGCTGGCAGGAGACACAGGACTCCTTGGTCAGAGACAAAGGACTTTATTGCCCGCAGCAAGAGCAGTACCAGTATCAGCATTCATTATAGTTCTCGGAGCCCCAGTTCCCAAAGGGGACAAGAACACGGTCAGGTGACATTCACACATGAAGTGGATTTTGTAACAGGAGAGGAACCCTGAGCTTAAGGAAACCAAGTCTTTCATAATAGGTAGCAAGGTGCTTGCCTTCTGCTTAGGAGAGAGATACTGTCTCTATCCTCCAAGGTTATTGCCCAGGAGAATATCTTGAAAAGACAGTCTAACAAGGTTATGGGGCCTTTGTGCAGAAATGCCAGAACTCATGGGGAATTGTCCCCCAACAAATAATAGCATTGTCTCTGCTTTACAGGTGAGGAAATTGAGACCTAGAGAGATTAATTAACTTGTCCAAGTTACATAGGTTGTAAGTACAAGTCTAGCCTGGGCGCCAAAACCAGGACTTAGCTATTATTAGGCTGGGATGTCTGTAAGAAACAAGAGGCTGTGCTTCAGGTGGGTGAATTGCATGGTATGTAAATTACATCTCAAAGCTGTTACTAAAAAAGAAAGGAAAAAAAGGAAACAGTAGAGGAGGCAAGCATGTTTCCCCTGCAGTCGGGGGGAAACCAGAGCCTGGCTTCTGAGTATTTGCCGAAAGCATCGGAACCAGAACTCTCTCTTCTCTCCATCCCAGGACAGTGGACTTGAGCTTGGAGGAAACAAGTCTGTGAAGTTGGATTTTAAGGCTTCAAACTAGAGTTTGCTCTCTCCGTCCACATTTGTTTCCTGCAATCACAGGCATCGGGGAAGGAGGAAAATGAGTGCCTGGGTCTGGTCTGTTAAGACCCAGTGTTTGCCCATGATTGCTCTGAGCCCATGAGAGTTTGCTTTAAGGCATCGGGGAAGGAGGAAAATGAGTGCCTGGGTCTGGTCTGTTAAGACCCAGTGTTTGCCCATGATTGCTCTGAGCCCATGAGAGTTTGCTTTGGATGGAGTTGGGCTTGCCAATGAGAAGGGAAATGAGGTTTGAGTTGGACAGAAGGAAGGAAGGTTAGTTAGGACAGGGAAAGGCAGGGGGCATTGTGATTGGAAAAGCAGAAAGAGCATGTCAAGGCTGGAGGGGACCCCAGAGGTGGCTGCCAGGTCTTCTCTGGGGCCCAGAGAAGTGACAGACAAACCAAATTTATACAAATGGTGGCACTATTTGCTTTCTAACTCCTTTCCAGTGCTTGATCCTAGGGGAGGATACAGCAGGGAAAAGATGTAGAGACAGTAAGGGGGAAGGAACCCTCACTGGAGAGGTTGCCTGGCAGAAGACTTCAGTCAAAGTTGGACCGTCTGGGCTTTCCTCTGTGGCTTGTCAAAATAATTCCAAATCCGAGAGGAAAATTGGCATGGCAGAGAATCAGTATGGATATCTCAAGTGTCCACATGGAGTTTGGAGTCTTAAATGACCTGGTTTGGCTGCCTACCTAGGAACTATCCAGAAAATTAACTCCTCCCTTCGGTCTCTGTTACATAAACCAAGGAAACCGCAAGTAAACATTTCCTCACTTGATCTCACGAGACTGTCTCCCCTCCATTTTTAAAAATAGGGGGAAGGAGGAGAGACAACTCTGTTCTTTTGAACTGTTAGCCTAGAGTTTAGCTGGGGAAAAAGCTGAACGACCCTGAACTGAAACAGAAATATGGAACCCGAGGTCTCTCTAATAATGTGCCCCTGCACGGTTTCCCCAGTCCCCACTCTGATGACTGGGAAGCATCCGTGCAAATTTGAGGCGTTCTCTGTAATTCAAGCTCATTGTTCCAGCAGCGCCTTCTTCAGAGCAAGTCAAAAACTGTTAGTACCAAGGGGAGTTTGGAGTGGCTCTACCCACAGGGGTAGAGCCGGGAGGGAACTGGTGCCAGCCCTGGGGTGTGTATGTCCCCCACCCTGGGCGGCAGCTGGGGCCCTGTTACCCTCTCTCCTTTGGTAACGCGAGCCTTGCCAGCAGCTTGCTGACCGAGGCGGACGCAGGTCACACGGAGTTCACGGATGAAGTGTATCAGAACGAGAGTCGCTACCCAGGGGGCGAGTGGAAGCCGGCCGAGGACACCTACACGGACGCGGTAAGCTGCCTCAAGATGAAGCGTCACGCCTTACCAGTTTGGAGCCGTGATCCGTGACTCCACTGACCACAAGGCCCGGCCTCCCCTTCTCTTCTGCTCCATCTCCTGTTCTAAACAGCCTTCCATTTATAACTTAAGGCACATCAATGCAGCTGTAATTATTTTCTGTAGGAAAGACATTGGGCCTGTTTAACTAGATGTTAGAACATGGTCAAATCTGAGTTGTGTGATTTTTTTCATGTAAATATTTATTTACTATTCAACTGGTTTTAAAATCCTAACAAATTGAATGCTTATATTTCTAAAATACTCAAACAGCGCAAAAGGAAATGAAAAGTAATTCTGCTCCCTGACTTATGCTCCACCCCGCCCCCTGCAATGATAACCACTGATGGCACTTTTCTGTTCATATTCAAATATGTGACTTCTTTTTTGCCCTACCTAAGTAGAATTGTGTTGTATGTACAATTCAGCAACTTATTTTTTCACATAACAATATATCTTGGATGTCTTTTGATACCAATACTTCTAGATCTGTAAACTTTTAAAAAAAAAGCCTGCCTAGCATTTTATTATATGCACCCACTATAATTTATTTACATAATCCTCGCCTTGTAGGCATTTTAAGTTTTTCCCAGTCTTTGGTTTTTATAAGCTATGTGACAGTAAACATCCTTAATAGTTCCATTTATACTCACTTGTGGAGGTTTATCTATAGAAGAGATCCCTGGAACGGCTTGGCCAAGGTTTCAGTTCATATAAATTTTGAAAAGTATTGCCAAATGGCTTTCAAATAGGTTGAATAATACATTTATATTTCCCACCACAGCCTATTAGAGGGCTGTCTTCCCAAACACTCATCATTCCACTTCAATAGCTTTGTTAAATCCTGAATAAATGGTATCCCATTGTTATTTCAATCTTCACATTCTTAATTTAAACTGAAGCTGAGTTTTCCTTCATGTTTATGGACCACCTTTATTTCCTGTACTGTGAACTTTTTTTTATGACTGTTTTAATGCAGAATGTGTCAATATTTAGCACAAACTTTGCTCAGTCTTACATGAGCATCTAGAACTTGCAGTAACATTTCCCTGTACTTGGAAATGTGTTTTTCACACTTTAGCCATCTCTGATGGCTTCTTCGCAATACAACTCCTCATAAAAAGAGTTGCACCGTTTCATAATATTAAGTTAAACCATATGAAATTGCTGATATTTGTCCATTTTTGACCTATAAAAACCATTTCCCCTTTCAACCTAACATACTCCATAATAGCATAAAATAGAATATATTCTAAAAACTAATTTTTGCAACTATACTTAAATACAGATTGGAGATTTTTTCTAAGTCAGGTTGACCTCTAAGATGGTATCCAAGTTAGTGTGTGAATACTATCATTAAGAGTGAGTCCCACCCTGCAGCTTATTTGACACTGGCTTACTTCTCTTCTGCTTTTTTTTTTTAAGAATGGTGATAAAGCAGCATCACCCAGCGAGCTCACTTGCCCTCCAGGTTGGGAATGGGAAGATGATGCATGGGTATATGACATAAATCGTGCAGTGGATGAGAGAGGTAACATTCTAGATCTCTTAACCCACAGGGTCTCTGCAGCAAGGCCTTGGGTAACCAGAGAGAATCTCCTTGGGAGGAAGGAGCCTTACCCCTGCTGGTCTAGGACGACCAGGTCATGTGGTGTTACCTATGACTGTTCAGATACAAGATCTGAAGGACAGTCAAGTGCAGGATGGGGGCTGTTGAGAGTGAAAAATGCTTGATAACAAGGGACTTTGAGATGCCAGGGATCAGGACAAGAATTTGGGAGGAGAATGGAGCTTAGATTTCCTCTATTCTAATCACACTCATACCTTCCCTGGGAACATCATCCTCAGAGCCCCCTTGGCTTAGAAACTGTAAAATGCCTTAGAAGTCATTCTATTCAGCAATAGCGGAGATTATTGACATAGCTTGTATTAATGGTGTTTATCCTTTTCTATGAGCAATAATCTAAAGTTCAGTGAACAGTAATGTTCAGAATTCTCAAAAGAGAAAATTTGATTTTGTTTTCTTATAAGAGGAAGTAGTACATGGTAAGAATGAGCATTGATGCAGAAGATTTTGGTGAGGTTATAAATTCCTTGCTGATCTTGATGCCCACACCGGGCCTTGTAGTAATAATTAGCATTGATGGAGCATGAATCATGGGCTAAGCATAGTCTTAGTGATATGCATGCATTACTTTGATTACGTCTTTTTAAAAAGGTAAGGTTACCTTTATGCTGGGGAAAGTGGGCTATAGGCAGGTTTACTAATTTGCAAGAATCTTTTTTAGCGAACAGCCAGCAAATGGTGGTGATGGGATTTAAACCCAGGCTGGGTGACTATATAGGCCATACCACACCCTTCATCACTGTCCTCATTTGCCTCTTATACTGTGTTTTATTCTTAGATGCACTTAATTACCATGAATGACTGGAGGTATAAAAATAGAGGAGGACCCCATGGCCCCATAGGAAGCTTTCTGAAGAGGAATCCAGGGGATACGGCTGTATTCAGCTTGGCTGAATTGCAGCAAAGTGAAAAGAGTAGTGGCATTCAGTCATGACAGGAGAGAATGTTTGGGGGCAGACAGAGTGACTGAATGTTTCCTAAAAGTTTATTTTGGCCATCTGGCAAGGGCATCTCTCGTGGATAACCGTTTGCAAACTCTGTTTCAGGCTGGGAGTATGGGATTACCATTCCTCCTGATAATAAGCCCAAATCCTGGGTTGCTGCAGAGAAAATGTATCACACTCATAGAAGACGAAGGCTGGTCCGAAAACGCAAGAAAGACTTAACACAAACCGCTGCAAGTACTGCAAGGGTAAGAAGAGCAATGGGAGGGAGCTAGACTGGGGGCTCTGCCCTCTGGACACACAGAATTCCAGAGGACTCGGCTATTTCTACACAAACCATTTGCCAGTCAAGGGCCAATGCCCTGCTCAAGGGTTCTCAAGATGTGCCCCCCACAAACCCGGGCAAGAATAGCAGCCCCCTCAGAGTCGGAAGTGCCCCAGACCTACTAACTCAGGAGCTCTGGGGGTGGCCCAGCACTTGGTATTCCAACAAGCCCTCCAGGTGATTGTGCAGCCCCTATACTGTGAGAACCACTGTGGAGGCAGGAACAGAAACAAACTATTCTGACAGCATGCTGTAGGGACAGCAGTAATGCAGGATTGGACTCTGATGTACAGGGATTCAAATACCAGCTTCATTTCCTTTCTCATCTGTAAAATGGACATAATACCAAGTTTTTAATTAGGGCACTTATTTAAGGCTTACATGGGCTGATAATAAGTTAACTGGAACAATAATACTCATAAGAATGAGTGACATGTTTTGTGTGCCTTCTATAATGTTAGGTACTGAATATGCGTTATCTACAGTCCACAAGGTCTGCACTTCATCCTCGTTTTCCAGATAATCTTACAGAGGTTAAATAGACTTGCTCTAAGCCACATGTCTAGTAAGTGATAGAGCTTGTGTAAACCCTCGCTAAACTAATCCCAGACCAGATCTCCTTCTATTCCACAAGATGCCTGACTTGTAGTAGGTGCAGTGCAGTTAGTTTTCACTAGATAGTGAACTTCTTGGGCACAAAGATGGAACTGAGTCATCTTTGTGACCTTCTCGCTAGCTCAGGAAATTATTACTAATAAATAATGGAGTAGAACAAATGAGCTGATCAATGTTTGTTTGTTGTTCAGTTATCCCTGTTCTGATGGGGTAAGAAGTTACTAGAGGCACTTTCTCCTTCCATGTGAGAGTACCAGTACAAAGTGGAAAGAACACTGAGCCACCAGTCAGAAGAATGGAAAGCTGGCTCAGTTCCACCAAAGAGCATTTTAGAGACGTCGATTATATTCCCTGACCTGTCTCACTCCTGAATACATGAAATATTTCAGTGCCGCTATCAACACTACAGGTCAATTAACAAGATTGTGCTTGACCTGGATTTTATGTTTACTCAAAGTTGAAAAAAATAGCCCCTAGAATGATAATAACCTACATGGAGCTCTTACTGCTGAGATCATAAATATTATTCAGTATTATTTTATATTTATTAAACCTAGTCATACTTTTAAGATATTTGCATAGCATTTCCACCACTAAAAAGACAAGGTTCCTGTCCGTCTTGTTCTTCAATGCTTTCTCAGCTCCTAACACAGTCCTTGCCACATAGGAGGCCCTTGTATTTGTTGAATGAATTGAATGAAACATGAACAACTGAGATCATTTATACATAAACAGTTTTTTAAATAAAAATGATTCTGCTTAATAGTTTTTACAGAAGTAATACCCCCTGATCTAGCCTTTAATTAGTTATGACTTATTATTTTAGATGGGACATCTAAACCCTGAGGAAGGTGATGTCATTGTTCTCTATATTAAAGTAGAGGTAATAATGTTTTCCCAACTATAACACAATAGCAGTGTTCTTATGAGCTAACAAAGTGAGAAAATAAAAGGCAATTTGAGAAAGAATCCATTTCTCTTGCACCAGCCCAAGTCTGAATAAGGTGGCCCCCCTGATTGTAACACTCTAATTGCCTGGTTATCGCTCTGTGTTCCCACAGTCCATCAGCTCTGCAAGGGCAGGGAGCGTGTCTGTTCTTTGTTGTGTCATTTGCTCCTAGCACAGTGCTAGGCAGAGAATAGATTTATAATACATACTTATTTGCTGATTGACCAAATAATTTGCTTTATCAATATAAGTAATATTATTATTACCACTACCATTATCATTTTCACTATCAAAGTTTTACTTCTGTTTTAGGCCATGGAAGAATTTGAAGACCGGGAGGGCTGGGAATATGCTTCTCTAATTGGCTGGAAATTTCACTGGACACAGCGTAGTTCAGACACCTTCCGCCGCAGACGTTGGAGGAGAAAAATGGCTCCTTCAGAAACACATGGTGCAGCCGCCATCTTTAAACTTGAAGGTGCCCTTGTAAGTAGCCAAGGATCAAACAATATTGATACAAGGAAAATATAAGTGTTGGATACACCACTGTATCCAAGAGTCCTGTAACGGTTTCTCCAGTCCTGCAAGACTGCAAATAATTTGGGAGAAAGCAACACATCCTAGGTGCTCAATAATTCCTGTTGAATGAATAGAATCTTGACATGTGAAAGGTTCTAAGAAGGCCTACTGCAGACACACCTGTTTAAGAGTTCACATCATTTCACCTAGCATTTTCTAATATATCTGTCCCAAAACCCTTGGTTCATGTAACATCTGTTAATATCCCACACACAGGTTCTTTGGATCATACCTTGGATGCTACAACTGTTTTCAACAAGCCAAGAAAGTTAAATATATGGATGTGAGGTAGAGGGAAACAGAAGGATGCTCACAGAATAGAGAACAATTCATATGGAAGCACAATTAGGAAGGCAGGGAGGGAAAAAGCAGAAAGGTGGAAGGAACGAATAAGATAATGGTGATGGTTCATGTAAAATAGTGCAGCAGTCAAGAACCATTTCCAAACACAACTTATGTTTGTATTTCTGCATGCTGACCCTGCTGTGTTCTTCCACTGCTCTTTGTCTTCCTCCTCCCATCCTTTTAATCGCCTTATTTATCCTTTATATGTTTCCTTTTTTTAATTTTCAGCATCAGGGTTTGGTAAACCTGGACTGGAGGCAGAAAGACTGGCTTCAACTTCCTGCTCTGGCGCTTTCCTGCTAAGTGACCTTGGGAAGTCACTTGCTGTGCTGAGCTTTTCATCTTTAAAAATGGAGTGATTGGATTAAAAAAGTCTCTTAAAGCCACCATTCCGTTTGTTTCTGATCCTTGCTTCTTTGTTTTCCGGCATTGTAATGGGTTTTTCTGCCTCTGTAGGGTGCAGACACCACTGAGGATGGGGATGAGAAGAGCAAGGAGAAGCAGAAGCACAGCGCCACCACCGTGTTCGGGGCAAACACCCCCATTGTGTCCTGTAATTTTGACAGTAAGTTTTGAATATGTATTCATGCATTCCATTCTATGACTTTTATCTTGAGAAAACTCTTCAAATCACCAAATAAAATTTAAAAAACCTCATCTTGGATGAAGAAGATGTCTTAAAATAGCTTGAGAAATCATATTTGGGGTGGAAGGTGGTAAAATCATTGACTTTAACATAGTCTCTCTTATATCTACTTACTCTACCTCTGAAACCAAAAAAAGATTATTTTAATTAGAAAAAGAGTTTCAAAAAGTGAAGTAAAGTTGGTTTCAGTGATAATCTTCAGGAATTTTTGGCTGAGGCAAAGCTCCTCTACAATAATAATACTTTATTACAATTATATTTTATGTAAGTATATAAATTTATTTATATAATATATAAAAGTACATATATTATAATTTGTTACAATAATAAAAATGTTTATATGTCTTCATGTATGCCAGGCACTGTACATGTATTCACTTGTTTAATCCTCACAACAGCTCTAAAAGGTAGGTGCTGTCATTGTCCCCATTTCACAGGTGAGGAAACTGAGGTGTAGAAAGGTTCACTTTCCCAAGGTCATACAGCTTGTAAGCACTAGAGACAAGATTTTAATTCAAGTCATCTGGTACCAGGATCTGTAAACTGACTCAAAATGCTCTATTATGTCTCGGATTGAGGGAGTGGGGGGAACAGAAGACTTAATACGTATTACTGTAGTAATGATAAGGTGTATAAAGATTTTGAAATATCAAAGAAAGTTCTAGCAGGTAACTGTTTCCTAGATATTGGTTTGAATAGTATAGAAAGCCCTCTTTCTTTAATTCCTGGAGACCCACCAGTTTCATTTTACAAGTCTGCAATGACAAGCAATCCTCTAAATCCGGGTGGTTTGCCATGTAAGTAGCGTTCTCCCCACTGACATACTTACTCTGAGCTTAGTAGAGTATTTAAATATGGTTCATTTTTCAGGAATGGAACTGCTTTGGGGGGATATGTCATCACCATTATGTGTGTACTTTACTGTGGAGAAGCAGATTTGGCTGACCCATTAATCCGAAACACGTATAATCTCCAAATATTACAGAAAAAGAGCAGTTTACAATGTAATGTTTCTCGTAAATAACCTCCATCCTGTTCCTTTTAGGAGTCTACATTTACCATCTGCGCTGCTATATCTATCAAGCCAGAAACCTCATGGCTTTAGACAAGGATAGCTTCTCAGGTAAAGAAAAGAAATTCTCCATCTCACACATTATTATGTAGCAGACAAACTGATTCTACGTTTCATCCAGTGGATGCTTTAAGTTATTTCTAGTCACAGCCAAAAGCCTTTTCATATTGAGATTAGTTTGATATGCATGAAATAAATTGCTCAGTTGTTTAGATAAATAATCACTGAGTATGTTGAATACAGGTGCTGGGTGCTAGAAATACATAAAAGACACATGATGGTTTAATACTCACAATCATTAATGGATTAAGTAATAAAAAGTGCCAAGAAGAAAAGCAGTTTCTGCTCTCTGTTTATACGTAGAGCTGTATACCTATGCCTTGGGCTCTCTGGTTCATTTGTAAATTATGGTCTGTTACTTTTTTTGTGGCTCTCTTCATTTGACAAAAAGATCACACGTTCACCCATTTGCCTACAGCATCAGGCTTGAGGCAGTGTGGAGTCCATTTTGACCTCCTCTGCTGCCTGCTGCCCCAATTCCCAGCAACGCAAAACCAAGAGGCTTCCTCACCCCTTACACGGACAGCCCAGCTGGTTTTGTTCCTCTGGACTGATTCTAAGGGGAAGGCCCCGAGAAGGGAAGGGGAAAGCCTGGGCAGAGGGGGAGCTGCTGCCTGTGTGTTTGTACTGTTGCTTCTGGGACCATGAGTTGTTCAAGGGACAGGTGGGCTCTCCACGGAGATTGCCACTTCAGGACCTTCCCTGGGCCTTCTACAGGAAGGAAAGAGCTGTAGAAACAGCTCTTAAAGCAGTTGCCTGACACTCTACTATGCTCCCGCTAACTGAGGCGTGTTCCAAGTACTAATATTAACTGTTGTGAACGGTTTCCTTTTCTCACAAATTAGAGCAGATTCAAGGGTATTCCTACAATATGCATCTCCAAAATGGTTTTTGAAAACATTATTGAATGGTTACCACCAGGGGGCACTCAATCATTGGAAGTCAGAATCCTATCACAATTCTTGATTAGAGTTGCGTAAAATTGTAAACATATTCCTCACAGTTTGAGATAAATATCATCACATCAAAAGTGTATAATGCTGCATTTCTGAAAACCAAGCACCCTTTTGGCTTATGCAAGAGCTTCAGGTTAGACATTAGTTATTGCTCAAATAGGTCATTTCCCAGGCAATTGCAAAAGTTTTGGTGAAATTATGTAGCATAGAAGAGAAGCAGATTACTTCCTTTTGTTTTGTATCTTTATTCAACTTTATTGAGGTATGATTGACAAATAAAGTTGTAATATATCTAAAGGGTACAATGGGATAATTTGATATGCATATACATTGTGAAAGGATTCCCATCGTTGAGTTAATTAACATACCCACCACCTCACATATTTACCTTTGTGTGTGTGAGAGAACATTAACGTTCTATTATTTTAACAAATTTTAGCTATACAATACAGTGTTATCAACTGTAGTCACCATGTTATACAATATATCTTCAGACCTTATTCATCTTATAGCTGAAATTTGTACTCTTTTACTAATTTCTCCCCATTTCCCCGTCCCTCACCAACCCCTGGCAGCCACCTTTCTACTGTTTCTAGGAGTTTGACTCTTTTGTAAGGGGGGATACCATGTAGTATTTGTCTTTCTCTGTCTGGCTTATTTCACTTAGCATAATGCTCTCCAGGTTCATCCATGTGTCACAAATGGCAGGTTTTCCTTCTTTTTAAAGGCTAAATTATATATACCACATTCTCTGTATCTCTTCATCCATCTATGGACACACAGATTATTTTCATACCATGGCTATTGTTTCCTTTGCTGTGCAGAAGCTTTTTTAGTTTGATGCAGTCCCACTTGTTTAGTTCTTGCTTTTGATGCCTTTGTTTCTGGTGTTAAATTTTTAGAAAGTCATTGCCAAGACCAACGTCAGGAGCTTACTACCTATGTTTTCTTCTAGGAGTTTTATGGTTTCGGGTCTGATGTTCAAGTCTTTAATCTATTTTGAATTGGTTATTGTGTGTATATAAAACAGGGGTCCAGTTTCATGCTTTTGCATGTGGATGTCCAGTTTTCCCCACACCCTTTATTGAAGAGACTGTTCTTTCTCTATTGTGTATCTTTGGTGACTTTGTTGAAAATTAATTGATCATACATTGTCCTGGGTTTTCTTTTTTTGGGAGATTTTTGGTTACTGATTCAGTCTCCCTTCTCATTACTGGTCTGTTCAGATTTTCTGTTTCTTCATGGTTCTGCCTTGGGAGGCTGTATATTTCTAGGAATGTACCCATGTCTCCTGTGTTGTCTAATTTGTTGGCATATCTATTATCCAATTTGTTGCACTCCTAATGGTGAGTGCAGTGCCAAGAAAGACTGCGCCCAGTGAAACTTGGTGGGGACATACTCCGGAGAGACAGCTCTCATCACACTTCAGTAGCCTCTGCTACACTGACAGGCCCCATCAGCAGGCCAGCCTGCCCCTGGCACATCCTGATTGCTGCAACTTCCATCTCCTCGGTGGGTGGTGAGAGTCCACGATCAGTGTAACTGGAGGAAAAGCAAGCAGCTGAAATGCATGGTCCCAGGAAGCTAGACTTTAGCCATGGGCCCACTGCTATTCTTTTTTTCTGTTGTAGACCCATATGCTCATGTCTCCTTCCTGCATCGAAGCAAAACCACTGAGATCATCCACTCAACTCTGAATCCCACATGGGACCAAACAATTTTATTTGATGAAATTGAGATCTATGGGGAACCCCAAACGGTTCTTCAGAACCCACCCAAAGTTATCATCGAACTTTTTGACAATGACCAAGTGGTAGGTAATGTAGAATTCCTAAGAAATGGGAAATGATGATGATTGGTAGGGATGCTCGTTATGGAATTTAAGGACGGCCTGTTTTTCTAGGGCAAAGACGAGTTTTTAGGACGAAGCATGTGCTCTCCTCTGGTGAAACTAAATTCAGAAATGGACATCACACCCAAACTTCTCTGGTACCCAGTAATGAATGGAAACAAGGCCTGTGGGGATGTTCTTGTAACTGCAGAGCTGATTCTGAGGCACAAGGTATTTGCTGAGTTCTCACTCATATATTCTCTCCGAGAAGCTGCTTAAAACACTTGTTAATAACTCAGCACTGTTTACTTAAACTAAAGGGATCCTTCACCTTTGCATGTTTGTTTCACAGGATGGCTCCAACCTTCCCATTCTTCCATCACAAAGGGCACCAAATCTGTACATGGTCCCCCAGGGGATCAGGCCTGTGGTTCAGCTCACTGCTATTGAGGTATGCTGCTCTCTGACTGTTACTCATCAAATCAAATGGATGTAGCTGCAGGACTGGAACCCTTCATATAAGAAATGGAATCTTGCTGAATATTCCTTGCTGTCTTCAACTTCCCACAGAATGGTCCAAAAATTTGAAATGTGCTTGGAAATAGCTTGTTGAAGCAACAAGAACAGGTCAATTCCAACTTTACCAAGGGATTCTGAAGCTCTCATTTCCTGGAGGCCTGTTGATTTCTGAGTTTCCCATGTCAACTGGAAAACTGGGAGAGGGAAGATGGATGCAGAACAGTGTGTCTGTGTGTGCAGAGAGCAGGGGACCCAAGCAGAGGCAGAGGCAGAGAGAGGGAAGGGATTAAATAGAAATGGTGACATGTTGGACAGTTGGAGCAGATGTAGGTGGATGGAGCTAATTAGATAGCTTGATGTACAGTGTCTGGCTGACTCTTGAGGTGTGTCCAGTTGAGAAACTGTGACCTGGAGATTTCCATTCTCACGTGCTCTTACTGAGTTCTCAAAGACTGAAGCAGTTGGCTTTAAGCAACAGCTATCATTTTTCAATGCTTCCATATCAGACACTGTGTTAAGAAGTTTACACTTGATCCTCAAAATAACCCTGTGATAGATAAGACTGTCAGTCCTGTTTGTAGATGAGATACAGAGAGGTTACTAACTTGCCAGGCAGGGTTCAGAGTTATAATGTGGCACAGCCAGGATTTGATTCCTACACTCTTACCTGCTCTATTTTTTAGCAGCTCAGGCAGAAGGAAAGGAGCAAACTGCTTCCCCTGCATGACCCACAGGCTTTCTAGGGTAACAGCCTCAGAGATTTTAGGCAAATCCGCACCCATCAACCTTAAAGAATTTACCAGTTATTAAGGACAAATTTTTCCTTTTGAACATTATTTTTAATATATTGGGTTTCCCTCCCTTCTCTTTATTTTGTGTTCTTAGATTCTAGCTTGGGGCTTAAGAAATATGAAAAACTACCAGATGGCTTCTATCACATCGCCCAGTCTCATTGTGGAGTGTGGAGGGGAAAGGGTAGAATCAGTAGTGATCAAAAACCTTAAGAAGACACCCAACTTCCCAAGTTCTGTTCTCTTCATGAAAGTGGTACAGTATCAAGACTCTGGAGCAGCCTGTGTGTGCTGAGTAGCTGAATTTTATTTCAAATATGAATATACACATATATATGTATATATGTGTGTGTGTGTCACACAGTGTATATATTTCCAAAATCTGACAACAAATAGGAAACCCTGCCTTGTGTTCAGCTTGTCAGTGACTTCCCCCTTAGATTCTCACACTCTAGTGACAGACTCTGAAAGCTTCAAACATCCCCAGCAACACAGAGATATTTATGCGCAATTCTTAGGTATGTCTCCAATAAGCTGTCCATCTATTCAGTTACCAATTATAGGCTCTTGGTCAATCCCCTGAGGGCAGGGTTTTAACCCTCTGCCACACCCCTGCAGGTATACATGAACCAGAACCTTCTAGGCTGGCTAGGGAAGGGCAGCTGTGGGGGAACTCATTTGGGGTGATGGGGCCATGTCCTGATAGCCCAGAGCTGTGCCCCACCTCCAGGTGCCCCTGGTATGGCACCCACTTTGTTCCACTAAAGTTACCCTCTGGTTACTAGAAATTCGACAGTATGAGTGCTGGTTCACGGTCCTCTGCTGTAGACCTCACAGTATTTTGGAGCAAAAAGAGGTCACCCAGTCTTTCCATTTTCAAAGCAATTAAATCCATAATGTTTTAAAGAAGAAAATCTATTTTTTACTCTGCAATAGAAAAAAGATAAAAATAAAGGCATTTCCTCAGTTTGATGGGGTAGAAGGCCCAGAACCTTCCCATGCCTTTCCCCACCCTGGTCATTTGGGGTCTCCCAACACCTCACTCTTGAATTCTAGGTCCATGTGGCTTAACTTCTCCTTTTACAACTGAGGAAACTGAGGCTGAGAGAAGGGAAACACCTTATCCACGTCCTATAGTGAATGTCAGGTCACGCCTGTGCTGCAGCGATCATGACAGGCAGTGGCAGCACACCTGGTGCTAGCTGCAGTCATGCGTCCTGTGTTTGCTCTTTACCCTAACCTGCAGGGCAGGTGTTTTCACCTCTCTTAACTCCACTTTGGAGGAGACCCAGAGGTTAAGTAATTTACACAAAGGACTCAGCTACCAAGTGGGTGGCCCCAGTCAGGAGCCCATGCTCTTGCCCTTACATGCTGCGGACTGCGATGGATGCTCTGAGCCAGAATCCCAGAGTCATCGCCCCTGGGCCCCTTCACCCATCCTTGTCCACTCCCCAAGCCCTCCCCCTCTTACATCCTAGACTTGACTCTGGTCTCAGTCCACAGACAAGGAAAGCCACTCAGTCAACCCCAGCTTCTATTCCTGTACAAGCCCAGAGACGGAAATTCACCTGAACCACATCCCAGGCCGGCCCCAAGACCAGTTCGTGATTCCCCAATCAGCAAGGCCACTAAATTCCACGTGGATGAACTAGGAGGAATGTGGAGGAACTAATGAGCATCCCATTTGGTCACTGAACTTCCAGGGCTAAAAGATTCCCATGCCACAGTTAATTCCCTTGGAGATTCAGTTTTATTTCGGTCACTTCTAAATTCTAACTAAATGTTGTCTACTTCCTGTTACAGAGCAGAGCCAGGTCCTCAGGGCCTGTTTCTAAGCACTTCACATGTATATGAATTGAACAAGCCTATTATTACTGAGGAGATAACACGCATTGCTAATTTGCCTCCAGTTGTGCAGTGTCTAGGGGCAGAGCCAGGATTTGATCCTGCAGACTGGCTCAGAGCTCATGCTCTTAAGCACTGTGCTGCTTGCCTAGAACTAAATTACTGAGCAACTTACTGGGAGTCCCATGGGCTACACCAAATGGGCAAAAAGGGTCTGGTGGCCCCTCTGGGGGAGTTATTGGCAAAGCTGCCCTTGTCAGGTCTTATACAGAGAAGTGACGGCTCCTTTCCAACCCCCAGTTCTTGCCCAAGGAGGAACTGTATATGCCTCCGCTGGTGATCAAGGTCATTGACCACAGGCAGTTTGGGCGGAAGCCTGTTGTGGGCCAGTGCACCATCTACCACCTGGACCGCTTTCGCTGTGACCCTTATGCAGGAAAGGAAGACATTGTGCCACAGCTAAAAGGTAAAGTGCAAGTCTATAAGTATCATTTTGGGGCTTTCCATGCATAATCTGATTTAATCTTTACAAACCTTTTTAAAGGAAGTATTCATTGTCCAGATTTTGCAGATGAGGAACCAGTTTGGTTTATAATGGCTTGTATAGCTTCCCAAGCTAATATAGTTGGTGGGTGGCAGGGCTAGATGTGAGCCCTCACCTCACTGTGGAGGGACCCAGCACTCAAGCTATTGCCTTCTGAAGTAACCTGTCCCTGGATGAAATAAAACTTCTCTGTAGGAGATGTTTAGTGCTCCATGAGCTTGTCATGTAGTCCAGCAGAGAAGACAGACAAGGAAATGAGTGCTTGCAGTCCAGTATGAGAAATACAGGGGCTCCCTAGTGAGCACTGAGGGAGGGAGTATTTTATTTTAAATTGCATTCCATCTGTTGTCCCACCTCATTAAGGTATCACAACATCATTGTGATGCAGGCTGAAAGACATTATTTTGTTGCTACCCACAGAGAAAAAAATGACACCTGCTGAGTTTAAGTAACTTACCTTTGGTCACGTAATGAGTGAGTGATAAAGCGGAAGCTAACACTGACCTTAGAGTTTTGTAATAAATAATAACAAATGAATAGCATTTTGCTCTTGTCTATTCAGTAATGCCTTGTTTTTTAGCTTATCATGTGCCAAGGTCCGTGTTAGAGGCTGGGGACTGGGTCACATCAGTGAACAAGATCCCAGGGATTCTGGCCTCACACCCACTGGAAAACCAGCACAGCCTCAGTGAGATGATCATTGGTAGCCTCAAGACTGAAACAGATGTCTTCTATTTAAATAGCTGTGCTGCTAACCAGTTCTATTTAATCTTCATTAAGGTTTGGTACTGATTTTGCAGAGTCTCTGGAACTCATCTGCTTTGTGCGTTTGAGCATCCTGTATCCCCGATTCAGAGAAGAGGAAAAAATGAAATCCTCAGTCACACTTGAGCAAAAAGCCTACATGAGTTTATTTAGAAATTTCCCATGCAAAGCATTTTGTGCTGAATTGACGGTGCCTAAAATTACAACATATTTAATAACGAGGATTATTGTAACTAAAGGCATTGTTTTATTCAGGGTTACTAAATGGAGAAAAACCATTGTCCTGGTGCTTTCCCTACTGATTTCACGAAAGAAAGTTTATTGATCCAAATATGTGAAAGCATTAGGAAGGTACAAATTCTGAAAACTTCCAGGACTGCTTGTGTGGGCCTGTTTGCACCTGCTGGTCAGGGGTTGCTGGGCCTGAGGCAGAGGTCTCCTGGTGAGTCTATGTAATTCATTACAAGTGTGGTCAAGGCTTCAGAGAGACCCTGAAGAGGAAAATCCTTCAGGAGTCCATACTTAAGTATGGGGGAGCATAATGCTCCCAAGACCAGAATCTATTATTTTAGATCGATCAGGTATGTTCTGAAAGCGAATGATAGGGTAAGAGTTGTGAGATGCACTTGGTTGGCATGATGTTAGAAGCACACAGAGTAGCTTTTTCCTCCTGTCCCTAAGGCTTTGGTTTCCACAAGGATGGCAAGTGGAGAAATGATAATAGAAGGCCCTTGCGTGCAGTGGTGTTCCCACGTGCCTGCCCATCTGGCTGTCACATTCTCATTTGCTATAGTTGTCAGGAGTCCCTGGGGTGCCTGTCTTGCAATTGGAGAAACTGTTGATAGCCACGGAGGTGCCACATGCATATAAAATGACCTAGCATAGTGGGGGTATCATAGATGCTTAGTAAATGTCTTTGCTGCCTCCCCAGTATCCCCCCAGTCATTTCTCTGACATTATTGAGAGGTTACTCTGCTCTGGGCTCTGGTATGATGGTGAAAACACAAGCTTTGGGGTCAGACAGACTTAGATTCCTTACTTCCACTTACTACTAATTATTTAATCAGAAGCAAGTGATTTGCTTTTTTTAGCCTCAGTTTGTGTTTAATCTTTATAATGGGAATAATGGTACATATTGAAGGATTAAATGAGAAAACATATGTAAAGGGTTTAGCCTACTGCCTGGCACATGGTGGGTGCCTAAGATATGTCCTCCCTCCCCTCCCTTATGTCCCATGGTCAGTTGTCCAGGTGGATTAAACAGGAAGTTCTTCCGGCTTGGCTGAGTGTGTTCTGTCTGGGTTCTGGCCTCCTATTGAATGTCTTTCTGCCTGATGCCTTCTTTCATAAAGGGTAGACATACCTCTCATCCCCACCCCTGCCTTGGACTAATTGTCCAAGACAAAAGAAAAGGGTCCATATAGTGCCCTAAAACTGTCTAGAATTGAATCGTACTTTGGAAGAAGTGATTAACTTGGACGTTATTTTCTCCATTCGGGTGTGCTCCTCTCCATGGAGTACGTCTCATCCAGGAGTAAATGTTACCATTCACTCTGTGACTGTTAAACTGGGAGTAGAATGTTTACCACTGTATTTTTCTAAGTGTCTTAGGTGATTAAACTGTCTTGCAGCCTCCCTTCTGTCTACTCCACCCTGCCGAGAGGTCATTATTGAAATAGAAGACACGAAACCATTACTGGCCTCAAAGGTAGGCTTCAAAGCTCATTGTTGGATAATGCCAGTTTTATCTTTCAGGTGTCTTAAGTTTTGGGTGAATTCAGTCAAGCTACTCAAGACAATTAAAATAACAATCAAACCAATTTATCAAGATAAAGAATTTGAATCTTGCACTCATCAAGTTATGATGACTTTGTAGGATAGTATCCTCTGCCCTCAGCTACCCAGGATGTATATAATAGTACCCAGGCTCAGGCCTCACCCTCCAAGAGGAAAAGGAACCTAGACATCAGTATATTTGAGTGATTCTAATGTGCAGTCAGGTGTGAATGAAATGATTTGCCAGAAAGAGAAATTTCAAGAGCAATTTCGCAGCATTGCACATTCAGAAGAAAGGAACATGTAGCGCAGCAGTTCTTTCCCCCCCTACATAAACAGAAGCATCAGGGATTTTTAATGACCCTATTTGTCAGTATATGGGTATCTCAGATTTTAATATTCATTGTGGTTTTAAAATGAAGAAATTGGTGGAAATGCTCACTTAAGACCCTATTTTAAAACCATTCCAGGCAATTCTACAAGAAGGAGAGGAGAAAAAAAGCTTCCATCCCAGAAAAAAGAAAATATTAAATATCTCCCTGTTTCTACTGGCATTTATTATGAACTTTCACAGCATGTTTTAATGTGCAAACTGGCCAAAAAATGCACATGACTGCACTTTAATATGTTATGTCGATAAACAGTCCTTTAAAAAAATCCACTTCTTTCCCACTGCATTAAGCATACTCACAATTGGACCATATTAAACGCGTCTCCACAGCCAGCACTGTGTGGCAGTCTGTTTGATTCTATTCCCTGGGAATCCTCAAGTCACAGATGACAATATCAAATTTGCAAAACTATCATGTTCACTTTCAAAACAATCCCAAATACTCCCAACAAAACAGTAGGCACCTAGGGAGAAGTAAAGTACAATATACTTAAGATCCTTTGTGTACATTTTCATAATTACTGTGGGGAAAGACAGTTTAAGATCCTCTTCTATAATGTGCCTCCAGCTTTTTTTGTCAATCAGTTCTTAATTCATGCTTACTATGTACTCAGTAGCCCCTAGGTATGGAAGAATCAAGAAGAACAAAGCAATCTATGCCCATGTTTTCACTCATTTCTTAGCACTAGTTAACAGATGACTAGGCTACTGTAGTAACACATTGTTAAAGTTCAGTTAACAGCATAGAAATTTGAGTTACAACCTAACAGTGGGGTAGTGGGGTTGGTAGTATCAGTCATTCCCACTGTCCAGCAGTTCCCCCTTATTCACAGTTTCACAGTTTCATTTTCTGTGGTTTCACTCTCTGCGGTTTCAGTTACCTGCAGTCATCCATGGTCCAGAAGCAGATGGTCCTCCTTCTGATACTGTCAGAAGGTCAGTGGTAGCCTAAAGCTACATCACAATGCCGATGTCACTCACTTCCCTTCATTGCATGACATAGGCATATTATCATCTCATGTCATCTCAAGAAGGGTGAGAACAGTAAAATATTTTGAGATGGAGTCTACATTCACATAACTTTTATTACAGAATATTGTTATTATTGTTTTATTTTATTATTAGTGACTATTGTTAATCTTTTATTGTGCCTAATTTGTAAATTAAACTTGATCATTGGTATGTACATATAGAAAAAACAGTATATAAAGTGTTAGGTACTCTGCAATTTCAGACATCCACTGGGGGTTTTGGAATGTGGCCCCTGCAGATAAGGGGGGACTGCTGTTCTGTAAATAACTTCAGTCAGCTTGCTCTCCTAACACCTAGTTGAGGTACACTGTGTTGATGGGAAAGGCTTTGGAATCTCCCTTAAAAACTGATTCCACCTGTTCATCAAGGAAGACAGTAGCCACCTATGCAAAATGAAATAAGCAAAGTTGAGCTTTGGCAGAGCCAATAACAAGCTTGCTGATGTCCTATATTACATGTACATGTAGTATACATACACACAGGTAGTATACATGCATGCATGTGATATGCATGCATTACATGTACATGTAATGTGTATGTCATGGACATCTATTACCTTTAACTCAGTCAGGTTTTGTATCTGGGTAAATTGAGAGAGTGGCTCAGAACTGACTGTGCTGTTGATGGGAGCTGGAGGCTGTGGCTTTGGGTGACAGTCTCACACTCACAGAAACTCACACCAGTATCGTGACGACTGGGAGCTCTTAACAAAAGAGCTCAGTACAACCACAAGAAACGCAAGAAATAAGTATTTGGGGCAAATTTGGTAAGGATTAGCCAGACAACAGGGACATTCCTACATGGACATTTCAACAATTACCTTCCAATTCCAGTGTTTAAGCAGTATGTCAACAGCACTCAGCAAAATGGCTTCTCCAGCGACAGTGCATGTATGTATGACAAGCAAATGCATGAGGCTGCCTGGGACTGCGGGGGCTTCAGGCTGAAGACTTGAATTCTCCTTTCAGATTCTTGCTACTAGCAGACTTTGGAGGGAAAGATGATCTTTAAGCAAATGTGATTGTTTTAAGCCTAAGGGGAGAATCTTCTGTGCCATCTGGAAATGAGAAAGCAAATTACATCAGTTGCTTCTGTTTCTTTCCCACAGGAGCAAGCGGGCTTGGATAAATTCTCCCATACTAATCTTAAATTTTAAAATCAGTAGTTTGTCTTGAATAATGCTTTTTCAAATCATGAACTATTCTTTTCTTTGAAATGATTTTTGAGTCGCTAAAGATAGATGTGAATAAAGAGGCGAAAAATGTGAATTCAGGAACCATTCATAATGTCAAAGCATTTTTGGCATAAAATCTCTCTCCAAAATCTCAATTTGGCTGTGATGATGTAATCTTTAATCCCACTTTGGTATGAATCTAACAGAAAGAATTTATATCTGTCTGTCTCTCTCTACCTCTCTTGGAAATTCCATGTGCTGAACAAAAGTCAACCCAGAAAATCCCAAGGGGTGTGCCTCTCCGAAGAAGCCCTGTGACTGCCACCCCCCCACC